TTGCAGGTGTTTGAGAATAGGGTGTTGAGGAGAATATTTGGGCCTAAGAGAGAAGACGATGGGGCAAGTATGTTCACTCATTACTACTTTGTGGACAACATTTGCAACAGCTGCACAAACAAAATAACAAAGCTGAGACTACGAAGCTACTGAAAACATGGTGCAGATCTGAAATGTTTTATTATGATTGATATTTTAATAAACATCATCATGACTGAATTCACCTGTGTGTAGTCACGGAACACAAGTTCTGGTACCTTTCTTTAAAAAAATAAATAAATAAAGTGCTGTGTGTGCGCACATATATGCACACAGATGTGTGTGCGCGCACATATTCCTGTGCATTTCAAAGTAAGCAAATTAATACCCCAGCACTAAATCACCAAAAACATAAAACTTTCACATTAGCATTTCATAACAAACAATGATGAGTGCGACAACTGTTCATGACACAAACCTTGAGTTGTTTTGCGTCAATTTCTGATATGCTGTTCACTGCATCGATTATGGCGCTAGCTGACACAAGCTGAGCCACACCTGCAGCCCCCTGCTGCTTGACACTCAGAAGCAAATTGTTACAGACGTGTTTCACGCAGCAGGATGCAACGCGCTCTGCCACGTACTCCACAGTCTTGCGCGTGGATGCTGGTTGTCCATGGAAGAAACTCTCTTCCAGAAGCAACTGCAAAACATAAAAAAGAACTAAAATTTTAATTAGATTTTGTTATAGCTCCCAGTCATCACAGTGTTCAAGGCGATAAGCATCTTTTAAATACGTCTATACTTCCATGTAAATCTCACCTTCAAATGGTGAACATCCCATTCTCATGAATGAGGGTCTGGTGACCAACTCGTGGTAGAACAAGTTGTAAATCAGATGTGGAAAAAATGTCAATACCAGAATTTAGGCCAAATTAGTTTACATTTGGTGGTTATACATTCTTTGCACAAAGTGCATAAAATTAACACATAACGGGGAGGTAGTATCTTTCCACATGCATGTTTCATCTGTGAATGAAATTAATTTAAATGGAATTTGACACAAGCAGTCTTCACTAAAAGTTGATACAAGAGAATTTAATTCTGGTCTGTATGAGCATAAATATAATCTGAACTTCACATGAAACTCACAAACTTCACTTTTCCAGATTGCAGGTGTTTGAGAATAGGGTGTTGAGGAGAATATTTGGGCCTAAGAGAGAAGACGATGGGGCAAGTATGTTCACTCATTACTACTTTGTGGACAACATTTGCAACAGCTGCACAAACAAAATAACAAAGCTGAGACTACGAAGCTACTGAAAACATGGTGCAGATCTGAAATGTTTTATTATGATTGATATTTTAATAAACATCATCATGACTGAATTCACCTGTGTGTAGTCACGGAACACAAGTTCTGGTACCTTTCTTTAAAAAAATAAATAAATAAAGTGCTGTGTGTGCGCACGTACATGCACGCAGATGTGTGTGTGCACATATTCCTGTGCATTTCAAAGTAAGCAAATTAATACCCCAGCACTAAATCACCAAAAACATAAAACTTTCACATTAGCATTTCATAACAAACAATGATGAGTGCGACAACTGTTCATGACACAAACCTTGAGTTGTTTTGCGTCAATTTCTGATATGCTGTTCACTGCATCGATTATGGCGCTAGCTGACACAAGCTGAGCCACACCTGCAGCCCCCTGCTGCTTGACACTCAGAAGCAAATTGTTACAGACGTGTTTCACGCAGCAGGATGCAACGCGCTCTGCCACGTACTCCACAGTCTTGCGCGTGGATGCTGGTTGTCCATGGAAGAAACTCTCTTCCAGAAGCAACTGCAAAACATAAAAAAGAACTAAAATTTTAATTAGATTTTGTTATAGCTCCCAGTCATCACAGTGTTCAAGGCGATAAGCATCTTTTAAATACGTCTATACTTCCATGTAAATCTCACCTTCAAATGGTGAACATCCCATTCTCATGAATGAGGGTCTGGTGACCAACTCGTGGTAGAACAAGTTGTAAATCAGATGTGGAAAAAATGTCAATACCAGAATTTAGGCCAAATTAGTTTACATTTGGTGGTTATACATTCTTTGCACAAAGTGCATAAAATTAACACATAACGGGGAGGTAGTATCTTTCCACATGCATGTTTCATCTGTGAATGAAATTAATTTAAATGGAATTTGACACAAGCAGTCTTCACTAAAAGTTGATACAAGAGAATTTAATTCTGGTCTGTATGAGCATAAATATAATCTGAACTTCACATGAAACTCACAAACTTCACTTATTCTACTCCAAATGACTACATAATCACACACACAAAAGAAAATTGTATATTACATAAAATCTAGTTCTCACTAAGATCTACAACTTTTGTTTAAAAACATTTTTAATTAGGAAAACACTTAACAAAATATAAAAAGAAATTATTTCTAGCTGTAGCTGCGTGTGCTTTGCAACGAAGAAAGATATCCTATGTGCAACTTAGATCAACGAAGTGATAGTTTAATGTACAGAAGAAACAAATTTTAGATAAATATATATGCACTCCACTGATCTTAGTATAAAGAATGTGCAACAAATGAGAGTACAACATACCACATTCAGAAATACAACAGTTACAGAAACATATCCACATAAATCAAAATAGAGTACAACAGACCTACTCCCATATTAATAATTACACTATTAATAATTCCTTAGCAAATAATACAGTAGAAAAACCAAAAATTTCAACAGACTCAAAATATATTATTGCCAAATTATTATATCAAGCAAATAAATATTTATAACTTTGTACACATTTAGTTCCTTATCCACATATTACACTAAGCAGAATGCCCTATAATTATTCATCAAGAAAGGAAATTATGTTATGGACAAATCACTGCAAACAGAAGGATGGGAGAAAGCATGGCTGGTAGCAGTGCACAATCATGGCAATGATAATCCAACACAAGAAAAAGTGTGTGGTCCTGTATGTGAAATATAAGTATTATGCATGTGCATTCAAGAGCATCACAACATGGGTTTGGTAAGCTTTGTGGAATGTACCTCTTTTTGCAGTAGAGCAGAAAAAATTTCAAAGACATGGGAAGATTTTGCTGTAACATAAATGGGTAAGCTTTGTGGAATGTACCTCTTTTTTCAAAGACATGGAAAGATTTTGCTGTAACATAAATGAATGAACAGACGCAAAATTTGAACCTGCAAAGTTTGGGACTAGTGGCAGGCTACTAGAGTTCCAAAGTCACAAGATGGGTACGGCTACAAGAAGCTAAATCAGAAACAGTGAACTAACGAGGCACAAATTTGTCTATGCTCACAGATAATAGGTAAGGCAATGTTATAATTACTGCATGCAGCACATATGACTAATATAAATTAAGCTCAAACATCTTTAAATTTATGTAATTGTCCCTAATTTTCTCATCCCTGAAGCTCTAGAACAAGAGGAAGGAATGCAGAGAAGGAAAGGATGGAAGCCCACCGACAGGGTTGGCAAGTTAAGTGAGCAAGGGCAAAGCCCCTAATCTCCACAAGAAAAAAATAAATCAGAAAAGCAATAGTTAAAATTTACCAAATTAAATTAATATTAAAATAGCTCATGTTTGCAAAATTTAATTAAAATCATTTTATTTGTTCTCATTCCTAAGTGTACAGGTATGCCACGGGGCTTCAAACACCTGGAAAGGTAATTTACCCCATTCACTTGCACCTGAATTCTTTTTTGTTAGTAATTAAAATATAAAACCCTGATGATGAAAATTTGTCTGGCTCCTAGTCCAAAGAAAAATCTGTCATGTTCTACTTTAGAAATTTCATTCTTAGGTCATTTGAGGTCAGTGGTGTATATGTATTGACCCAAAATTGTTGAGGGGAAATAAAATATTTATGGCTTAAAATTCACCTTTAAGATCTTGAGTAAGGTGCAAAGATCTACAAGTGGTTATGTTGCTAAAGTGCCTTCTGAACATTTACAGAACACAGCAAACATACCAGAACTGTTATACTATTTGTACATTTCCTAAAGTTACTGGTATGTTTCAGATCGTGGGTCACTACTAAAGAAATACGAATTTTTTTCAGCACCGTGTGAGACTCGCACTGTAGGAATTAAGTATTTTCACACCTACAAAACATGAGCACAAAATTAATTCAACAATGCTGTATCAAATGCAGAGGTAAAACAACACATGTGAGAAATGGCAGGTGAACAAGTGGCAGGCGCTAAACTCGAAGCTAGTGATTTCAGACACTACCTGTATTTGCCTCACAGCAGACGGCTTGTTCAATGATGCAGAGATTGGAGTAATGTGCTTCACTGTTCTGCAAGAGGAGCCCTTCCCACCTGACAGGCAGAGCTTCAGTTCACCCATGTAGGGGCAGCAAAGGTACAGGCACTGTTCATCCACCACGTCGAGAAAATCCAGTGGCACCACTCGTGTGGCTCCCCCTGTCAACACAAGCCCCTGTCTGTGTCCCCTTGCTAACTTCTTTTATCTGTAGCCAGATGCCTCTTCCTATCATTAGTCTATATTTACGTCAATACAGTCTATTTAAGAGGTTACCATGCAAGATGGTTATCCATAAAAGAAATTCAGGTCTTTCAATCCTAAAAATGCAAACATTATGTTCATGTTACTAAATATGTACCATAGGTAAAATTTTCTATCTAAGAAGCATCCTTCTGATGATACATCACCAACACTTTAAACACTTAATGTTTTTCATCACCTGAATTTGTCTGGCTCAGGTTAAGATTCAGCTGCAGAAAACGTGACAATGAACCTTGACGTTCCACAAAAAGTGAATAATTTACTGAACAGCTGGCCATCTGAAATATTCTTATGAAATAATACCTCCACAGAGTTTCTGAAGCCACTGGTTACGATTTACTGTTCTGCTTCGCTTAGCTTCCACTTCTCTGACAAATGAAGCAAATGAATACTAAGAAATGAGAAAGTGGAGAGTGAGTGACTTTAGCTCTCAACATCGTAATGTATCATAAATTTTATCTCGGATATTAAATTGAAACTATGTTCATTTCCTTTCATGCAATAATAACTATATGATACAGTGTGCAACAAGTCTACAATCACTGGCATCAGACAAGCCATTATTAATCTTAAAAAGGGGGAGGGGTCATAAAAAAAGACACTTGTAAACATTACACAGCTAGCATTACAGAACTACACTAAACTCAACCACAAAACACACTACCAGAAAAACAAACCACATGAACCACTTAATAAGAAGACACAGTGAAAGAAGGCAACACCCCAAAGTATGGCAGAAACTCACGGAAATAAAAATCATATCCCTCTAATTCATACGGAAAAGTGAAGAAAAGAATGCATTATCAGGTTTTAAAAGCTATAGAGTTTACTACACCTGAGAGACTGCAAGCTGACAGACAACTAAGTAAGATTTGA